TAAAAGTTTCATCAGAACTGTGTAAATCCAAGTAATCATATTATGAGAGGCCAGTTTACATAGAAAATGGGTATTCAATATTTTTAAAGCTTTTCATAGGTAACAACTCAACATCATATCTGCAATCCAGTATTTTCCATATCTATCTATCTATCTATCTATCCATCCATCCATCCATCCATCCATCCATCCATCGGCATTAAGTGCAGATGTTCAAGCAGATCATCACGCAAACAGGAACCCCAGTACTTGCCAGGATTTCTATGTGGGTCAGATAATATTTATCGAACTGAGTCCAAAGAGGAGCTGAATTTGGAAGTTCATCACTGCAGCCAATAATGAAAGCTACAAATAAATGCCCAATAAGTCTGAAAGTGTGGAAAATTAAAATAATATCTCCTAACAGGTGACTGTAATTTACATAATAAAAATCACACAGGATATTCTTACCAAACAAAATAATTTAATATCATAAAAATTCACTTAAAATACAGTAGTGTGATAAATACTGCAATGACAGGAAGATTTCTCAAAATGTAAATCAACCTAGCAGTTAAATGATCTTAATTACATCTATCTTATCTTACATACTGCAAAGAATTTCCAAACCATCTGCCTAGCTCTTCTTTCATTTATATCAAAATAGGAAATAAATTCTAATTTATCACTTGAGAAAACTTCCTAGGGATATTTATATCAAGATAAACAAAGAATATGACCTAAAACTTCAATCCCTATACTTGTGAAAATTATTGCTACAATCCACTCCCATTAGGTCTAATTTACTTCACTTAATACAACAATTAGAGAGAATAACAATTTCTTTTACCAATGGAACAGTTTAGGAACAGAAATTATTAGTCTGTCCATAAAATCATCAGCATACAGCATAAAATATCAGCATAAAATATTTCATATTTTCAGAATTTCTAATAATCTTAGCAAGAGATTGCAAAGCCAGATATAAGAAAAGGAGAAAGAAAATATCCTTGGTGTGGACCATGATATTAATGCAGTGTTGTCCAAACTTGGTCACTTTAAGATGAGTGGACTTCAACTCCCAGAATTCCCTAGCCAGC